CAAGCAGTTCTGATCGCTCTTTCATTGGAAAGGGCGAATGTTCAAGACATCCAGTGTGCGCTCAGCACAACGCACTCAGCAACTCCCCCTCCTCTTTATTCGTATAAAATGGGCAATAACAAAGAACCCAGAGGTGTGTGTGGTTTCCCCTCCCTCCCCCTTTCTCTGTCTCTCTTTTCAGGAAATAAAAAAGGGAAAAGGACAGCGTCTCGCTCCCGCCAGTCTCTCAAAAAGCACCATCAGGCTCCTCTCTCGGAGGGGGTGTGTGCGAGTCCGTCTGCAGCCGGAGGAAGGGGACTGCCGGCCTTTCCGCAAGGAGAGGGCGATCCCGCTCCTTCCCCAAGCTCAAGAAGCAGTCTTTCAACAGCCCCTTCCCAGAAACAAACAAAACACTTCCTCCCTCCCCAAAAAAACCCCAAAATACAAACACCGAACAAAACAGAAAAAGATACAAAAGCGCCTGGCGGGGTGGGCGAGTCCTGCCGACAGCCACGCGCGCCGGTGCCTCCTCCAACAGGGCCCGGCTCTCGCCTCAGTAAGTGAAGACCAGGTTGGAAATGCTGGACTCCAGCCAGTCCCCCGAGATCATCTCACTTACCTCCGGCGTGCAATAGTCCGGGAACTCAAAGTGCGAGCCCGAGCCAGGCTCGAAGTTAAAATCCAGGTCCCGGTCCAGCACCGAGGAGCTGAAACTGCCCAGGGACATGCTCTCAAAGCCGGGGCTGGGGTTCAGGTCCAAGAGGTCGTCCTCAAACTCGTCGTCCGACGAAGAGGAGCCGGAGGAGGAAGAGGAGGAGGAGTGGGAGGACGCGGAGGAGGAATGCGCCGTCGAGGGGGCCGGGGAGGAGGCACGCAAGCTGGTGTAGCTGCGGTGATCCGAGGGCGAGCCGGAGCCGGAGGGCGAGGGGCAGGCGACGCCGCCGCAGTCCCCGTCGGGCCGGCCCGCGCCGCCGCCCCCCTCCTCGTAGAGGCTCAAGGGGTCGCCGGCCTCAGCCGAGCTGCTCAGCGTGGGGCTGCCGGGCACGGCGCCGCCGGGGGAGGCGGAGGCAGCCGCCGCCTGGCCGCTCCCGAAGATGTAGACCCGCTTCAGCTTCTTCTCGGCGAGCGGTTTGCCGGGTCCCGAGGGCGCGCCCGCCGCCCCCCGGGGCTTGTAGAGCGCCTGGTGCTCGGGCGGCAGCAGCGCGGCCGACGGCTCCCCGGGGAACGGGGCGGCCTTGCCCCCCGCCGCCTTGCCGTGGGGCTTGGGAGCCGCCGCCCGCGCTGCCCCCGCCGGCGCCGCCCCCGCCGCCCTTGTCCGCCTTGTCGCCGGGCTTGGCGGAGCTGTTGCCCGACTTCACCTTCTTCCTGGGCCGGTACTTGTAGTCAGGGTAGTCCGCCATGTGCTTGAGCCGCAGCCGCTCCGCCTCCCGGATGAAGGGGATCTTGTCGCTGTCCTTGAGCAGCTTCCAGCGCTTGCCCAGGCGCTTGGAGATCTCGGCGTTGTGCATGTCGGGGGACTGCTCCATGATCTTTCGCCGCTCGATCTGTGACCATACCATGAAGGCATTCATGGGCCGCTTTATGTGCCCGCTGGGCGTCTTGCACCAGCTCGGGTCATCCGCCTTGCCCCCCGTGGAGGCGGTGGAACCCGGCGTGGGGGAGGAGGCGATGCCCAGCTCGATGCCGGCCCCGGAGTCGGAGGTCTCGGCGGCCAGCAGCGCCTCCGTGTTCTCCGCCGTGTTGGTCTGCTGCACCATCGCGGCGGCGGCGGCGGGGGGCTCGCCGGGGCTCAGCGCCGCTCCGGCACGGGGCAGGGCGCGCAACTTCTCACAGCGGCACCGGGACGGCGCAGCCCCCCGCGGCCGCGCCCCCGCTTCCCGCACCACTTGTACTTCCACACCGGCGCCTCGTCCCCGGCGGCGCGGTCCTCTCCCCCTCGAGGCAGCAGCGGCGGCAGCAGGAGCAGGAGCGGCGGGGCCGCCCGCGGTCAGACAAGAGTTTCTGCAAAAGCAGCGCCCCGAGCCGCCCGTCCAAGTTTGCTTTTTTTGTTTTTCTTGGGGTGTTGGGCTTTTTTGTTTTTTTTTTTTTTTTTGGAGGGGGGTGTCGGTCTGCTTTTTTTCCTCACCACATCGGGTTTCCCCCCTCCCCGAAGCAGCTGGTCCAGTTCACAAGCGCGTTCCGCCTGCCCGCGGCGTTTCAGGAGAGCGGCACTCCTGCCGCCGAAAGTCTCTCAGCGCTGGGCACGGCCAGCGTGCACCGCCGCGGGGGAGGGGGGAGGCGGCGCGCCCCCGAAGCCCCGAAAATCCCGGCTCCAGGACCCGTGGTGACGGCGGGGTCGGTGGCCAGGAGTTTGTGCAGGCTGGATTTGGCAGTTGCGAGGTACCGAGCGACAAGGAAACCCCTCGGGATAAGGCAAAAAAACAAAAAACAAAACAACAACAAAAAAAAAGAAAACAAAAAGAAAAAAAAAAAAGAAGTAAGAAGGCAAAAATAATAATAATTGAAAAAATCGCCGTAAAAAAAGAAAAATAAAAGAGCGCTCGTGCATGAACGAGTGTGTACGTCCCCGGCAGGAAGAGCGGCCAGCCGTGCGCCCAGCTCTGTTCTCCTCCTCGTCCTCTGCCGACGGCGGTGCTGCTGCTTGCCGCTCCGCGCGCGCGGAGCCCCGCGGAGCCGCCGCCCCCCGCGCTCGCCCGCC